CGTCGATGTTTCCCTCGGCTTCGCCTCGGGAAACATCGACGGTCTCGGGTCCACAAAACACACTGTTTCCCTCGGTCTCAGTAAATAAGTGATAATTAATCAGTTGTAATTTGATATTTTCGGCAGTCGTTACCGAAAGTTAAAACGATTGTCGAAAATAACAAGTTACAACTGATTAATTGTACTTAGTCAGCCAGCCAGCCAATGAAAATAGTTTTACTTGACAAGGAAGTGTCAAGTTACAATTGCGTTGCCGCGCAGAACGAGATACGCGTGCGATTTCTAATTCACTCGCGCCGGCAACCCAATGAAATTTGACCCGTTGCGTTACCGGCGCGAGAAAAAATCGCACGTGTAACCCATAAATGAAAGACATCTTTTTCAGCCATCTTTATCTTTTTTCCGTATACACAACGCTGTAGCGAACGTGCTTCATCATCAAACGATATGGAGTACGTAGTTGAGATTTGCGGACTTCGCAGGCTTGGATGTAGCATCCAGTTACCTGAAAAATAAGACGTTTGCATCCTGCATCCAAGCCTACAAATCAAAATCACTACGCCTGTCATCCCTAGTCTTGGTAAACATCCGATCACAGGCTTAACCCAGGAAAGGAAAAATTATGGCTTAAAACTTACAGCAAGATTTCCACGAAATACAGCTTTAATGATTCTGAAATTCTTCTGTGCAATAAATAATTCCGGTAAATATGGAAGTTGATATAAGAAAATATACTAAACAACAAAACAATAATAACAGTAGTTACGTATACAGTCACCAGTCAGTCCATGTTACATTTCACGTCAAAAGGATGCTATAAATAGTACATTAATATTCAGACAAAGATCACATACCCAGGACATCAAAAATTGTTTCCAATTGAAGAGAATGAAATCCGAAAATATCCTGTTGGTCAAAAAGAGATCAGTTTCAAAAAGCGAAACAAACATAAATTTCGTGTACGTTTGTTCATTGGTAATTACAATAGTCACATTTAAGTACATCTCAGATCTACTTCAAATTGAAACAGTAATACGTTAGTTACCGTTCAGGGATGCCAATATTATACCTCAACTTTAAATTGACTAATCAAAGAACAGCATTTTGTACCACGTGACGTTAATACAGCGTCAGATATTATAATATCCCACGGCAGATCTGACGTGCAATGTTATAATTGCGTCGCGCGTGGTAAAAAGAATATGGCGTTCTCGAGGTTCTGTTAATCGTAAAGATTCAAAAACTCAAGTAAAAATAAAAATAAACATTGTATTCGCTTAGTAATTCAGCACGTTAATTCTCAACTTAAACTACGTTCACACCACGCCGAAATGGTTTGAAAACGGCGAAGAAAAGCCACAATTAGCCGTCGTGTTTGAAAACGTGACTTTCGCCGTAACAATTTGAGCACGGTTTCTAAACGGAGCGAGATGAAAACGGAGCGCTTGGAGGCTTCATGTGAACACAAACGACCTTTTTGTGCCACTTGCAAACCAAGCATCTCAGATCTCAAAACAGTAAACTCGAATGCTTTTCGTTTAAATTTCTT